AAGAAATTGCTACATAAGCAGCACAGGAACAGCAAAATGTGATGAGCTGCAAGTATAACTACTGTAAAAAAATAGGCAAAAGAGCTTTTTAAAAATTATAAAGCTATACACACAAACAAGTATAATTTATTGTTGTTTTTGAAGTGAAGACATTTAAGACATGCTTCCTCTCAGAGCTCAAGACTGCTTCAGCTCTTGGCTACCATGGGTTCTCTTTATTTAAAATATTTGATTGGGCCAAAGTGAGGAGGTATGATGCTAGATTCGTCCTTCCTGGGATTAACCCACGCTTTCCTCATCTCCGACCACTAGCAGACAGGAATCATGTGGCTCTTGACTTGGGTCAAAAAGAGTAGAAGACTTCCCACCCTAAGGTCCTTCCCCACGAATTGCATATTTTGCAGCCCTGCTTGACCCTACAAGGCCTCAGGAGGGATTTAGAGTAGGGTTTCTGGGCCAAAAAGTGCCCCAAACGTGATATTTTTATAATCCTTTCTTGGGTCCTCTTAGCAAGAATGGTAACCTATAATTTATAAGAGCATTTATTCACTCATTTTGAAGAAAGGCTTTTAGAAAGTATAGATTCATACATGTATTTGTCCCCTCTAGTAACACAAATGGTCTTACATCCATAGGTATTCAACATACTCTAATTTTCGGACTATAAGATGCACTCCCCCCCACAAATTTGTGAGGAATAATGGTTGTTAATGCTGCTGTTGAGTTCTGTTTACATTTACATTGGTGAAATATTATGCTATTTATGTTATTAAATACTTTACCACATTTTTTGCTTCAAAATTTTTTTCCTATTTTCTTCCTCTAAAACCTAGGTGTGTCTTATGATCCGAAAAATATGGTATACATTTGGAACAAATGCTTAAGTGAATGAAGACGCATTCTAGGGTCATATTGTCTCAGTTATTCCAGAATATATTGTCCTAGATGAAAATAGTTTATGCTTGTGATCCATTTTTAATATAGTAATTTTTTTTAAGACATAAAAAAATATTTGATGTCAAAGTGCCAAAAACACAAGAGCACAAATATTTTGGAAATTTTATAGTCTCTATATAACAAAATAGTCAATCTAATAAATTGTTTTCTTTTATAAAGTCACCCTTTTCAAAAATAAAATAATAGGTTATAGGAAACATTTTTCAATTGAAATTTTGAGTTTTCCCCAAAACATTGAGCAACTTTTAAACTGTATACATAGGACCTAACTTAGTGAAAGAGATTTTAAGCAGAGCGGTCCATATTTTAATACCCTGTAACTTAGGATATGCAGTGGGGGAAAACAAATAGAAAGAATCAAATCATTTCTACTGTATTTACCATCAAAGCCAGAACAGCTACATATAGTGAATTGGCAATAACTTAATATCTAGTAGACCAGACAAATTAATGCTACAATAAGGGATCCTTGCTGACCTTTGTGGCAACAGGGTCACTCTCATTCATGAAATATAAAACAAAGTAATGAGATAAATTTGGAAAACTATAAGACCACTGGTAATTCACCAATGACTTAATTAGGAGAGATTAACTGCAATTTTGTAGAAAAATATCCTGAATCCTTTTCGGGCACTCTGATATATTTAATCAAATAAAATGGGGAAAAAAGATTGAAAAAGAATTCAATGTCACCTATATTTTCCTTTCCTCTCCCTCCTACTCTGCTGAGCACCTTGTTGTGCACCACCCACTTCCTCCGCCTCCAAGTAATCTGATGCCAATTCTCCTAAAATCCATTCTATAACTTCCTTCTTGCCTGTTACATAATTCACTAATATATTCATATATAAATGCAAACCCTGAACACAATTGGCTTTTAGAACTCTAGTCAATGTTCATTTTTATTTATATATTTTGCCTGTTATTATCTTCCATTTTATTCTGTCTCTGATTGAAAAGTCTACCTTTCATCATGAGGGTTATTCATGTCTTCCTAATTCATTCTCAAAGATCATCTTAGAATCTTATTTGTTAGCATTAATAAAACACTTACTGTATGATAAGTGATGGGATGGGGGGGTGAAAACTTTCCATTTTACCCAGACATGTCTCTCATTTTGTTTTCATATTAGTCCTCTTAGGTTCTATAATTATCCTCATTTTACTGATGAGGAAAGTGAGGCTCAGATAGATGAAGTATCTTATCAATGGTCCCTCAACCTTTGGTTAAGTTGAGGGCACGACCCATGTAAGTCTAAGCTCTATCTCTTAATAATATCCTTTCATGGATATTTTCTCCTTGAATTCAACTTAGCCAATGTGGAGCACCTATATAAAAACATGTACATGTACAAACTTTATTATTTAAGTAGTCCAAGAGATCTGGCTATAATGCCAATATTATCTGGGTATATAATCAACCTTTCTTTTATTGCTCTGCTATTGATAGACAACTCACCAGCTACCTCTTATCACTACTTACAAATCTGCTTTTTAACCCACCCAATTTTAGAATAAAAGAAAAAATCCATATGCTTTAATAAAGTAGAAGAGTAAAAGTCATGAATTTAATATCTACATCAGAGGTCTTCTTACAGAGAGAAGGGCTTTGGTTATTATTGTTCAGGCAAAGGAGAGGCTGCTGAGAACATAGGGACAATGCAAATAAAGGGACAGTTAAGAGGCTCTAAAAGAGAGACAGGAATTTGGATTTGCTTATAAGAGAAAGTGGCATCTGGCCAGAAGGATGTGGACAAAGAAGGGCCAACATACTAAGAAAACTGAGTTACTATGTGAAATGGGGAGCCAAGGCAATGTCCCCTCTGATACATATTTGTTTGCAAGTATCAAAATATATTTTTAAGTGTGAGGTCTGGTGTGTGAAATATTTCTTGTCTTGTCTTTAAAATCATCGGTAAAAGTTTTGCTACTGTGACAACCTCAAGTTCATGGTTGATTGGGTGGCAGATAGGCTACAGGATGAGGCCAAGGATAAAAAACCTAGTCCTGTTTGGTGGATACCAGAATGGTGTTAAAGAAATGGCCACAGGGATCAGAGAAAATACCTTCAATGACAATAGAAAATTGAGCAGTAGTGATCCCTAAATTATAATCTGTAAGGGAAATATCGGGGAGCGCTTTGGGGTTTTATCAGAATGGGGGTTTGAATCAATTTATCTAGATCTGAAAGGGATGGGGGAACCCTAGGGGCTATCTTGATTACACTATAGTTACTCAACCATCTACATTTTTGGATAGAACTATGTTATGTTTGCTAAAACCAGAGAACAGACAATGACATAACTGCTTTGTAAAAGTAAATTTGAATATATCAGCATTTGCAGTCAACTTACTTGCTGACTTAAAAACAGCATGATGAAATTTTTTGCCTGTTAAACCTACCATTGCCCATAATGAAAGACTCTATACGCACTAATCACAACATACAGCCTTATGTTTGATCATAGCTTCTAAAAATTCATGATACAGGGATTTTTAGTTATACTCAACACATTTTTCTTTCAGAAACCTGATTGGTTGTTCTAGCTGCCATGAGTGATATAAATTGAGCTCTTAGTTGGAAGAAATCTATAGGATCAAGCATCTCTGAGTTTCATACAGAAACTTACTCTGAAGACATATTCAAAGGTATGTAGATTTTATTCATTAGTGTCCTTTCTGTTGTGCTTATTTCTTTTTCTACATTTCATGTTCAAAAGCTACAATGTATTCTGAATTTCTAATACTTTATGCTGTATATTCAGTTACTACTTCAGTTGGACCACAATTAAATTAGACTTTGATTATTAAATGAATTATTTTACTTTCTAATACAGGAAAGTATATTTCTCTAAATTTGAGTTCTAAAATCCTAAAGCACTTTTTAGGGCCAAATTTCAAAGCAAAATATTTATTTTAATTACTTATAAATGAGATAAAAATTTTTCACACTTTGTGATCCACTACTTTGAAAATCATTTTATTTAATGACATAAAATAGAATCATCAACTACAGTTTTTTTCCTCATTAATTCAAACTTTAGAAAAACCAGGTTTAGGAGGCAGAAAATGTGAGTTCCATAGCCAGCATTATTACACACAATATTCACTTCCTATGCAAAATTTAAAGTCTTTCTTCTGACAGTTTTCAAAGTTAGTCAATAATTTGCACCACAAAGCAATGTGAGTATTTTAGGATAGCCTGTTTTGCTTCATGTCTAAAGAGTCTTATTTGTGGAATAATCACAATGCAGTGTCAAACAAAAGGAATATGACATTATAAATATGGAATCTTTTAAGTAGATGCCATTTAAAATTCATGGAATAATCACAGAATATTAGTGCCATCCTATCCCTTTCATTGAACCACATCTTTTGCTCCACATCCGGAGCACAGAGATGTTACCTGAGGGTCTTGCCTGAAGTTCTATTCATGGGAACACCTGGAACTAAATTCCACTCCTTCCTTACTCTGTTTTGGCAAATTTATATCTTTTCTCAGATGTTCAGGCTTTGCTTTTAACAGTATTGCTACTGTCAAAAACAGACAGTCATTGTCAGTACTGATTAGACTGAGTACAGTCTACTCAAGTAGAATGTACCAAAAAATTATTTCTGTGCCTCTTGGTTCTAAAAGAATCAAGCACTGTGCACCTTGATGCTGTCCTCAATTTTAGAGCCAACTGTACTCTTTTAATCATCAATTGTAAGATACACTTAGCTTCTCTGACTCTACAAGCTGTACAGGTATAGGGAAATGGCATGTAAATACTACAGTGATAGATTATTCATGTCCCTACAACTTGTTTCAGCTGTCAACCTAAAGGAAAAGCATTTTTATCACTCTTGTAACTACAAAAAACCAAAATGGGCTGAGAACTGGAAATCACATATGAATGAAGTAACCTCACTAAGAATGATCCCATCCTTTCCACTGCAACAAACCAATATGGATTATGAGGGTTTTATGGAGCATTAATTATGTCCATATTTGAGAAGAGATAAGGAAAGTATGTTTTGACATATTTCAGGGCCATCAAGAAATGGGGACCTGGATTTTGTTTGCCTGCCTCCTGGGAGCAGCCTTCGCTATGCCTGTGAGTAAAACACCCCCTACATACGTCAATGTCCAATTTCACAAGCTTGGAAATAAAAACTACCCCATAGTTGATAAACTTTAGGGTTTAAACCAGTATTAACACCAGATGTTCAAAAAATTGTGTTTTAAAACAATTTAAAGAGCTTGTTATAAAAAATTAGATTCTCGGATGCCTCCACCAAAGATTCTGATTTAGTACAGCTGGGGTGGGGCCCAGGACTCTGCATTTTAATAAGCTCCCCAGGAAACAAGAAGCTTTTATCATTGCCCATCTCTAGATGGAGGAAACTTTTGGAAGGGAACCTCGAAAGGCCTCCAGAGAAAGTGCTTAAATCACACCCTTAGGAAAATATTACGATAATGCCAGTTTTGTCTAAAACCCATTTTCTTGCAAGTATCCAAATCTCTTTCTGCTCTCCAAACTCCACAGCTGTAACTTTCAGAAAGTCCAATTTCTGTGTTAGTAACTCCCTTCTTGAACCATCTTTCTGTTCTCAGAGGCCTCATCCCTTTGGGTGTATCTGCTAAGTACATGACTTTTACGTGGTTGTCTGGATGGAATCCTACCTATGCCACTACATAGGGATATACTTTATGTTGAAATGTACCAAGGACCTGGAAGTTTGACCCATTCTTCTAAGACATGGGTACAAAAGGTCACAGAGCTTAGATCACATGAAGGCAAAGTAGGATAAAGAGCAGTTGATACAACCAGAAGCCAGCAAAGCATGCATATCTGCCTCCTTTCTTTCTCTCTCACTCCCACGACCAACATTCTGTGCTCTGCCTTCCTGAGATCCTACATTGTGGCAATTCATCATCTCCCAAGGACCCTTGCATTATAAATTCAGCCCTTTTTCCACTCCTCAATTCAACACCCCTACTCTCTGACAGCTTACATCAAGATGGTATAGGAAAAGCAATTACTTGACTAAAATAATTCACACTCAGACAAGAATGAATTAACCCTTGTATTAAGTATCAGCATTTTAAAAGAATAGAGACTTACATAGCTTGATGTCTCAGGAAGGTGTTCAGCATGATTCTCTTTCCTCTCCCTCTCACCCATTCCATGGCCAACCGGAACTCCAGAATGCAGGCATTAGTCACTTGGTCTACACTTTACACAGGACTAGATAATTTTTTAGGTCATTTTTTTATTTTGAACTTTCAAATGTTTTTGCTATAAAAACATTGACATAATAATAAAAAGAACTGACCTAAACTTCATAAATCAACTCTCATTTTCCATGGAGATTTATAGTGTTCCATTTCACTGCACCCATCTTGTTCTCATATTCATCAATCATTCACATGTAGTTGTTTCTTTTGTTGTTGTTGTTGTGTTACTTACTTTGCACACAAATTATGAGGAATCTCTCTGATACTTAAGCACTCATCCACCTCCTGACTTATAGGGGAAAGTTTGTGAGATAATTCTCTTGTTGGTATTTCATAATCATGTAAGAGAAACATATCTCTTCCCAACATGGAGTGAGTTTCATCAAGAAGTAAGATGGTGGGTGGGACAGAGTAGGATTAATTGACAACATTGGTGGAGGGGTGCCTGAAGATCACTGGAGGACAATTGTGTGCTGGTTCCTGATTCCAGGTCTCTAACCATAGACTGCAACCCTTGGAAAAGTCTTTTAGTTGTTCTGAACCTCTTTAAAATAAGAGGGCTCCTCTCCTACACAGCATACATGTTCAAACTAAAAGTAGACCTCAGATATATTCTGCATTATATAGATTTTTTAAGTTGCTTCAGTCTCTCTTAATGTGAACAATTGCATATTGACTTAATCTCTTCCTCTCTCCCTTTCCCTTTTCTCTCCCTCTCCCACTTTCATTTCCTTCTCCTTCTCCCCTCCCTATAAAAGCTACCACCTCATCCTGGGCACCCTGGTTATATCAACTTCAGCTATGAGGTAATTTTTCTCTTTACTAATTTTGACCATTGTTTGAGTTAACAATGTCCTGGGCTCTGTAAAGAATAGTATGTTGATATCTCATTCAAGATGTTTCTCAGTCCCACTTTTTCAGTTCCCACTACCAGCTTCCTGGTTTAAGCCCTGATGAGTCGCCTCAAGCCTGCACTGCCCCAGCACACTCCTGCCTGGCCTCTCTGATTCAGTCTCTCCTCCTTATATGGCTATAAAAGTATCCATCATGAACTATCACTTAGGGGGGACTTGCATGGTAGGGAAGAAAGTAAATTCTGGCTGAACAGGTTTATTCTATTCTAGCCCCTAAAATGTGGGGAACAGGTAAGAAGTGATTTAAGATCCTTTCCAGCTAGTAAATTACCAATTCTAATATGTTCATACTCCTTTGTTTCTTCCTCACTTGTCTTTACCGAAAGATCAGTGACCAAGGAGTCTATGAGACATTCTTTAGAGCAATAAAAAAGCTTGACATTCCTGTAAATTTGGTTTGAGGCTCTCCTCAACCCCATACTAACCATGTGAACTTGGCAAATCATTTTCTTTCTCTGGAACTTTGGTTTCCTCATCTGTAGAAAGGAGATAATTATAACACCCACACTTCAAAATAACTGTTTGGGGAGCAAAATAGTCAAGCAACATAAAACATGCTTTGTCAAGTATATCTTGAGCAAAATTAATAATTGTTTGTTGTATTGATATCAAATGCTGTAGCACTATATCAAGGAGTCCCTGCACCTGAAATTACCTAGCTATATACTGTTTAGAAAAGAAGTGAAACTCTTACTTCTTTCATAGATTCAGATGATAATCTGTGAGTCTTACTCAGTTAAATTTTAAAAGGTTTACATATTTGACCAGAAAACCTGTGTTTATAGGATGAGGAACAGTGTTTCTGTCTCCTATATTTTTAATTGTGACATCATATAAAAATAACATGATTAATATTATGTCACATTAATTTTTCTGTTTTGTTTTGCTCTTGCAAAGAAGAACAGGAGCCATGGACTTAAACACAATTACTACTTTTGTAACCTCAGCCAAGCTCATGAAATTCAACTTCCCATGACCTTGTCTGTAAAAGTGAGGGTGATGATACTTGCCTTAGTGTATATGAGAAAACATGAAAACTGTGTGTTTGATGGATGTGATGTAGAGTCTAACACACAAGAAGCACCTGAAAAAATGTTTACCCTGTTCTTTCTTCAGTGGAACCCATATTTTCAGATGATCAATATTAATAGGACTGCATTATTGAGTGTATATTTCATGTAACTACATTAAAACAAATGTATTTTAATGTCTCTTTCTCTTAAGGTGCTTACCCCTCTGAAGTGGTACCAGAGTATGATAAGGCAGCCGGTATGTAGATATTTTGTTCTTTATTCTCTTAAAATATTAAGCATGCATTTCAATTCCCTTTTAAGTGAAATAACATATCTATGCCACATAAGACACTAATAGGAAGTCTAGCTTGTAAAAGGTCTTATCTGTATACACAGTTAGAAATTCTTGCACGGGAAAAATGAATAAATACTCATATTGTCATAATGGCAAAGACAACATTGCTACTTCTCCAGTTGGAAGTCAATGGAGCCAATGGTAAACCTGACTCTTTGTTTTTCACCAGTACACTTCCTATGGTTACGAACCCATGGGTGGATGGCTGCACCACCAAATCATTCCCGTGCTGTCCCAGCAGAATCCCCCGAATCACGCCCTACAGCCTCATCACCACATCCCTGTGGTGCCAGCTCAGCAGCCCGTGGCCCCCCAGCAACCAATGATGCCAGTTCCTGGCCAACACTCCATGACTCCAACCCAACACCACCAGCCAAACCTCCTTCCACCTGCCCAGCAGCCCTTCCAGCCCCAGACCGTCCAGCCGCAGCCTCACCAGCCCATCCAGCCCCAGCCACCCGTGCACCCCATCCAACCCCTGCCACCACAGCCACCTCTGCCTCCGATGTTCCCCATGCAGCCCCTGCCCCCAATGCTTCCTGACCTGCCTCTGGAAGCTTGGCCAGCAACAGACAAGACCAAGCGGGAGGAAGTGGTGAGTATATTCTGAAGCCACTACAACACCTGTGAAAACGGTAAAACAAAATTGTCCTCCAGAGTTCTAAGTTCTCAAACAATCCAGGCTCTTCAGTACCAGTAGCTACAGATTATTGACTCTATTAGTACAAACATGTGTTGTAACTTTAAATTATCAACAAGTTTGTCTACATGGCTCAGCAATTAAGACCATAGCCTTAACTGACTGGGTTTAAATTCTTTCATTCCTACCAAGAATATGTATTCTTGAAATCCATTATCTGCTCTCCTTATCTTTCAAGTGTTAGACTAGAAAGAGTAGGCTAGAATTGCACTGAAGATTTTTTTAAAGGGTGATTTTTAAGAGTGAGGGGATACAAATATTTGAATTGGTAGGTGGGAAATCTTTTTAAAGATCTACAGGAAGATTACCTGTGTAAAGTAGTTTTGAATCTAACTTGGAGGAAGCTAAACCATACAGATCATTAGATACCTTTTCAGTGCTGGGGTTCTACAGATTAAGCTTTTAGCAAGAAATTTTCACACAAGTACAAAATTTTCCTCCATTACAGAAAATTCTTCCAAATGAGTGGGAAATAGTCACTTAAAATAAATGACCCTTATTCATATTCATAAACCCTTACTTCTGTGTATATGAGACAGTATAATTCTACTGTATGTGTGTGTTCAAATGTAATTCCAATTTATAAATGCTACTGATGACTTCATACTGAGAAGCACCAAGAGGTGAGGTGGAAATGACTTGGATGAGGAGCCTGGATACCTGGGTTCCAGTTTTGGCTCTGCTCTCAATGAGGAGATAGTATTAAACAAGTTTCTTCAAATTTATGAGTGTTTTCCCTTCTATAAAATGAAAGTGACTAAATCAGACAATTTTCAAGCCTCTGTCCAAGTACAAACACCATAGTTTTCCCAATAAAAAATTATAATATATGCCATATATAGCTTCACAATGATCAAGAATATGGGGCACAGGTTTGAAAATTGATTGTATCACAAATAATCTGGTGCCTATAGTTGATTATTCTAGTCTAAGGCACATGTTTCCTCTTTGTATAGAAAATACATTTATTTATCTCTTTATTAATAATTGTACTTCATAAAGTACTCATACCCTGCCAGAGCTATTTATTAAAAGGTGGCCAGACAAGTAGTTTAAGTTTTTTAAAACTCCTGTGTAAAATAGAGTATATATATATTGATAGCATTGTAGAGTTGTTTTATGGGAAATAAATTCATAAGCTCAGAGCCTGGCAAGCAAGGAAGTACTCAATAAAAGGTGCTAATTGTTATTCTATTATCAAATAATAGTGTTAAGTGTCCTGAAGGCAGGAGCCTCCATCCTGGATACCTCACTTCTAATGTTAATGAGATAACAAATCTTTGAAAATTACATAGTCAAACCTTAATGGTTGTACATTGTTTTGGCAAAACTGAAGCTATATGTGTTAGTATAAATGGTACTCAGTAAGAATATTTGTAAATCATTTTAATTGTTCCTTTTGCTATTCTCTTTCAGGATTAAAAGTTCAGAAAATGAGAAGAGACCTGAAGTAAATACTTCAGTTGCTTTTAGAATGACACAGTGATTTGTGCCTAGCATCACTTAGTAAATTCTGTAACTAAAAATAAGTATCATTAGCAAACAATAAAAATGTTTTAAAAATTATTTGTATCTTTGTGTTGAATTAAATTTAAAATTTCATGTCACTTGAGAGAACAATTTATAATCAACTATTCTTGAATAAGGTAGGAACTGCTCATTTGTACATACAAATTGACCATTCTGCAGGCAAACGAGTACTATATTTCTTTTTAGAAGAAATGCAAAATATGCTATCTCAAACTTTTTTAAAACCAGAAGTTTATATATTAGTTATAATAGTTGATAAAGTGAAAAGTTATATACTGTCTCTGAACCTGAACCAAATAAAGGGAAGTTTATATGAAGAAACCCTTATGTTAAAAAATAAGCTCTTCAAAAATGCTTATATTACAAAACAAATTCAGACTTGGAACACTGGCTTTATAATTCATACCACATTAGTAAATACAATCTGGTCTTCTGATCTCATTTTACTGAAACAGATTTTTAAATGAAATTATGTGATATGGATAATAACATGCTAAATTTTAAATTATTGAGGTAATTAGCTTTCCTAACAAAACTTTTATTAAATGGAGCTTCAAATAATCACACTGATTTAACATATAAGTCATTTTATCCACTTCATAATCTTCAAGATAATATAAATTCTACTGTATAGTCTTCAAAATGTTAACAGATGCATAAAATGGACTCAATACAAGATTTTTTTCCCACTCCTAATTATATGAATCCTTTTTCCTCCTCCACCCACACAAAACTGTAAACATTCTTTTCAGGGTTTATATTACACAGCACCCACAGTAACTTTATTCCAGTACTTTTATGATTAAGGCCCCTTAATCAGTTTCTGGAATGAATATACATAACTTTACTGGGAGGGTGTCAATATTCAAACAAATAACTCAATTTTAAAGCATTTAGACTGATAAAAAAAACTAAGAAAGCTTTTAATCAATTAGTACGGGGCAAGTCTAATCAACTTAGTAAATATTTATTAATCACCCTCTAGGACAAGGAACTATTTTACATCCTAGTGAAAATAGTAAGTCCACAACCTTAAGTAATCTAGTATCTACCAAAGGAATAAAATAAGCTCACAAATAATAAGAGAGGGCCTAAGGGCAGTAATACTATAACAGAAGTATAGCAAAAATGCTCTGGTGACTATAGCAGACATCATTAGCTAGCTGTCCAACAGTTTTCCTTTCCTCACCACTCATTCCCTGTTGGCAGAGCTAGAATTAATCCCAGCAACTTCCTGAATTTCCACAAATTCAGGAGAAATGGGCCTCCTCCCCTGTCCCAGGGAATGAATGTTAACTCCTCCATGTGAATTATGGCATTTATTACCATAACATACCATATTCATACCAAATACAGTATTTATTCTCCTTGCCAGTGATCAGTTTAGGAATGAGTTGTGGTGTAACTTGAACAATGAATAAGGCCAATAGGGAAGTCTCCTGGGAGAGAAGGAGCTTCTGGAAAAAAAGATTACCCTATCATTATACATATAGACACATACACCAGGAAAAAGTACTGTTCTGTCTTTGGATCTATTTGTTTGAGGATGTGATGCCTGGAACTCTGTCTACCATCTTGTGACAGGGAGGGTCAGGTAGAAAGATGGAAAGTACCCAGGTCTTTGGTGGCATTATCATGTCCCTAAACTAACCAACTCAGGAACCATCTACCTCTAGGTAGATGACACACTATTTCTATGCTAGTGTTTTTCAATTGTGGGTCATAACTGATTAGTGGGTCATGATACCATATCAGAATCCCCATCATTTGTATCATTATAGCAAACTTTCTCTCCTTATGGACAGGAATAAAGAGAATTACTTGAATATCACTGAAAGTCAATGACTTTCCTGAAAAAAAAAATCTGATAAACAGATAAAATATATACCCTAGCATATTCTTCCAAATATATGCCCCCCACATACTTTGTCTTCCAAAGCCCATGAAAGTATTGTCATTACATTTATTCCTACTGAGAAAAATATTAAGGGTGTAAGTGATGATGTTATTTGAAGACTGTCTGTGACACTGGAAAGAGCACAAATTTTGGAGTCAGCCTGGAGTTGCTTTCATTTTCTGATAGAAGGGGATTCTCTATTTGGGAAAGTCATGAACAAAAGCAGTCTCCCTTTGTAATAATTTAAATGGTATTTTTGTATGTGTACACACATATTCAAATCACCTTTTTAATTACAAAAAAAAAGTCGCTTCAGAGTGTGAAGACTAGTCACTATGGAATGAGATATACTGCACAAGATAATTTTAACAAGAAACTGACACTTGCACATTAAATGTCCAAACATGTTTTAATATAATCATTCTCATGGTGGTTTTCTATAATAACATTGTTCTACCACATTAAACAGTGTATGTTAACCATAAGATAGAATCTTCCTGATGGTCCAGAATGAGACTTACTCTGTGTTGTCTTGGAAATTCAGAGATAATAAGGCTCTTACGCTTCTTACTGCCCCATATTACTCTCTCATTGTACCTGCTCCTTTCTGCTCTGAGCTATCACTTCTTTTTCTTCTTTGGTTAATGTGTATTAAAACCTTCTATTGTGTACCTTATTTTGTATATATATTCTCCCTAACAAAATAAAGGGTATTGGCCTTGGAATTATTATTCTGGAAAGTCCACAGTTACTTTGAGATTATTTTATTACTTTTTTTAAAGAGTTTATTTATTTAGTTTTAGAGAGAGGAGAAGGGAAGGAGAGAGAGGGAGAGAAACATCGATGTGTGGTTGCCTCTTATGTGCCCCCTTCTGGGGACCTGGCCTGCAACCCAGGCATGTGCCCTGATTGGGAGCTGAACTGAGACCCTTTGGTTCACAGGCCCACACTCAATCCACTGAGCTACACCAGCCAGGGCTTATTTTATTTCTTGATTCCCCAACTGTGGCAGATGGTCACAAATGACAAAATTCTGGCATACAGATGTCACCACATACTGTAACACAGCTGATGTAAATTGAATAAAATTGAGCAATTCTCATTCATTAAAACTCAGGCTTAGTCAGATACCCAATATTGCATGTATTTAAATCAAATATGGAAGAAAATTACTAGATACTAATGACCAAGGCTCAAAGTTCAGGCTGAAATAAATAGCAGTATTGATCATAAATGCATTAATAAACCCAAACTTAAATCTAAAGAATTATTAAATTAATAACAAATCAAAAGTAAATTATTTACAAAGCTGTGCAATGCCTTTGAAATTAAGTTTAAAGAGACAGATGAAGTTAAGTAAAACACCTCAAAGAAAATCTCATCTCACCATAATCACTCCCATGTCACTAATAAATTTGAAATCTTCTCTGCTCTCATCTACTCTTTGTTGGTGGGGTCTTCCATATGCATAATTTTTTTCCAG